GGTGCACTCCCAAGCGGCGCACTGTAGCAGTGCACCACCGGGCCGGCCCCTCACTTGCTTTCCTTACAAAGCCACCAGTTCACATCCATGATAAATTAGTACTCTGTGAAAGGATTAGTTCATTCACGAGGACACAGTCCTCACAATCACCCCTCAAAGGCTTCATCTTTCAAATACCACAGTCAGATTTCCCACCCAATTAACACTGTTACAATAGGAATCAAGTTCCCAATGCATGAACTTTTGGAGGGTGCATTTGACTCCTAGCACCTATCAATAGTTACTTTAAATATAAATGAATAAAACTCCCCAGTCAAAAGATACAGAGTAGTTGAATGAATAAAACCAAGATCCATCTACATGCTGTCTACAAGAGACTGACTTTAGATTTAAAGACCCACATAAGCTGAAAATGAAGGGATGGAAAAATATATTGAATGCAAATGGTAACCAAAAGACAGCAGGATGGCTACATTGATAAATAGACTTTAAGTCAAAAACTGCCACAAGAGACAAAAAAGGATGTTATATAATGATGAAAAGATTCACCAGGAAGATATAACAGTTATAAATATATATGCATCCCAAAATTATTCCTCCTATCTAGTTACAGTTTTGTACCCATTGGCCAACTGCACTTATCTCTTGGTCCTGGGGGTCTCAGGAGGTAGAACTACACTTAGCCTCTGCCAGGAGTCCCGCAGGGAGGAGGAGGGCTGCATGCAGCCCTGCCAAGAGAGTGTAGCAAGGTGAGTTGCTTAGGGCACACCTTGAGCTAGGGGGCTGCCGCCTAGAGAGGTGGGCAACCAGAAACCAGACACAAAGTTCTGAGGCTTAGCGCATGCACCAAGCAACTTTATTGTCTACAAGCATGTGTTATATATGTTTTAGCCAGCTGCAAGCCCCTCCCGCACCTCCCCATCTCCTAGGTAACTCAATAGGAAGTCTGTGGTTTGCGTTAAGCCTTGTGAATTCTTGCTGACCCAGTCTATTTGCATTTCTGCTGACACGGTCTAAATCCTGGAGAGCAAGAGTGCCTCCATCTTTAATATGTGTTCTCCTTCATTTTCCTCCAGCCAACTACTCCCTGTTTTTCCTCTTCATCATCCCCAGGCTCTGGTAACCACTGTTCTATTCTCTACTTTTATAATATCAACTTTTTTTTTTCAATCCCACATATGAGTGAGGTCATATGGTATTTGTCTTTCTGTGCCTGGCTTACTTCACTTAACATAATGTCCTCCAAGTCTGTCCATGTTTGCACAAATGCCAGGATTTCACTCCTTTTTATGGATGAATAGTATTCCCTTGCGCATATTCTATTGCACAGTAGGATGTCTATAGTTAACAGTTAAGTTTTGTTTTTGTTAAGCATGAGGTGGTTGATACTTTAACCACAGTGACCTGAATATTATATAACACATATGTACCAAAACATCAGACTGTACACCATAAAAATGTACAATTACGATGTGTCAATTAAAATAAAAAAATATATGCACTGAACATCAGAGAACCTAAAATATGAAGTAAACATTGACATAACTAAAGGGAGAAAGAGACAACAAAAGAATAATAGTAGAATAATTCATACCCCACTTTGAATATTAAATAGAATACTCAGGTACAAAATCAATAAGGAAACAACACACTTGACTATCACTATAGAACAAATGGCCCTAAAAGACATATATACAGAACGTTTCACCAACAGCAGCAGAATACATGTTCTCCTCAAGTGCACACAGAACAGTCTCCAGGATAGATTAGATGTTAAGTTATAAAACAAGTCTTAACAAAGTAAGAAGATTGAAATCATGCCAAGTATATATTTTTTACCACAATGGAATAAAATTAGAAACTGATATCAGAAAGAAAGCTGAAAAATTCACAAATAAATATGTGGAAATTAAACACATTCTTGAATAGGCTAAAGAAGAAATCAAAGGGACATTAGAAAATATCTTGAGACAAATGGGGACAAAAACACAATATACCAGAACTTATGGGATGCAGCAGGAGCAGGGCTATAGTGATAAATACTTATATTAAAAAAGAAGAATGATCTCAAATGAATGACCTAACTGTACACCCCAAGGATCAAGGAAAAGAACAAACTAAGCCCCAAGTTAGCAGAGGGAAGGAAATAATAAAGATTGGAAGAGAAATAAACAAAAATAGAGGACAGAAAACAATGGGAAAAAAAAATCAGTGAAACTAAGAGTTGTTTTTTGTTTTGAAAAGATAAAATTCACAAACCTTTAGCTAGACCAACTAAGAAAACAAGAAGGAAGACTCGAATAAAATCAAACGTGTGTTTCTGTTCCTCTCATGCTGTCTTTGAAATCCAGACACATTCTTCTTTAAATGACTGATAACATGTTCCACAAATACTTTTTGGGGACTTCTTTCTGAAACATGACTTCATTTTTATGGAGAACAAAGGACAGATAGAGTGACATAGGTCAGGAGGGGACGCCTACTCTGTTAATATTCATTGTTGGGCAATAAGAAGACTCCCCAGGGAATGGAAAAGTCAGAAGGTTCCTGGATCCCGGGAGTGACAGAGAGGACTACAATGATCAGAGACAGTGTCCACCTCTCAGGGACAACAGAGAAAAGCCATGCTCTCCTGTACGCTGCAACTTGTCCTGATAGGATCTCGGGTTGGTGTAGTCAGACCTTGCGGGGTGCTAATCCTCTCAGAAAGAGGAGTAAGTCTAAGAATAAGGTGAGAGAAATTTCCAGAGACTTTGAGATGAAATCCCCATGGATACGAAGATAGATCTGAGCACCTCATTGTGATTTTCCTTTCTGGGGTGAGTCTGGGGTATTCTGCTTCATATTTATACTTCGACACCATCACCCAAGATCTCACTCTTCTGGACTATTCTCAGCATATTTTTCCTTTTAGATATTTCTTCTCTTTCTCATCTTTAGAGAGACGGTTGCTTCCGTGTGGGTTGGCAAACTTTTTCTGTAAAGGACCAGATGGTAAACATTTTAGGCTTTGCAGGCCTTGTGATCTCTGTTGCAACTACTCACCTCCGCGCCACATTAGCACAAAAGCAGCCATAGACAATAACTAAAGCAATAGGCATGGCTGTGTTCTTTTAAAACTTTCTTTTCCCCAAAATGCAGCAGGCAGAAGTTGGCTTGTGGTAGTTTCTCCATCTCTTTACTGCCCTTTCCATCCATCCATCCAGTTTCCATTTTACTCCCTCATTTCCCAGACATGAACACACAATTGTTTTCAATCTTTCCACATGACTGGCAAATTCTCTAAGCCCCAACCAATGGAAAGGCTCAGGATCCTCATAGCTAATACAGGGCAAGTTTCTACTCTAAAGACTAGTTGACATGAACATTCAGCAAACACGGGATGGCCCGGGAGGAGGTGGTCACCTGGAAGAGTGTACACCCAAAGCTCTCTTTCCACAGAGCACCTCATGGGTGAGGAGTCCCTGATTCTCAGATAGCTCCGCCCCCTGACTGCCATCCCCTGTGAGTAATGGGGAGATCCTTTTGGGGTTGTGATGATTCTGCCTCCTTTGAAGCCATCTGATGAACTCTGATTTCACCAACCACTGGCACCCAGGAAGAACCTCTTGTGACACAAGCTGAATGGAATAATTTTATGGGATGAGGGGAGACTCTTTGGAAGCATCTAACTAGCATACTTTGGAGAAAAATTAGCCGAAACATTAGGAAAGGGAACTAGGCTGAATGCCAAGTCCCCACCCACAATTAAGGGTATAAAAGGACCATGGAGGAAGGAGACACTCAAACTTCACCCACATCCACTTTCAGCAGCTTACCTGCTCTTCCATCACCTCTCCCAGCACCATGCCCTACGACTGCTGCCTGCCCAACCTGAGCTGCCGCACCAGCTGCTGCTCCCGGCCCTGCGTGGCCCCCAGCTGCCACAGCTGCACCCTGCCTGGGGCCTGCAACATCCCTGCCAATGTGGACAACTGCAACTGGCTCTGTGAGGGCTCCTTCAATGGCAGCGAGAAGGAGACCATGCAGTTCCTGAACGAC